GTGTGGGTGTAGATGCGGGTGAGAATGTGGGTGAGGGTGTAGATGCGGGTGAGGATGCGGGTGTGGGTGTAGATGCGGGTGAGAGTGTGGGTGTAGATGCGGGTGAGAATGTGGGTGTGGGTGTAGATGCGGGTGAGGATGCAGATGCGGGTGAGGATGTGGGTGAGGGTGTAGATGCGGGTGAGGATGTGGGTGAGGGTGTGGGTGTGGGTGTAGATGCGGGTGAGGATGCGGGTGTGGGTGTAGATGCGGGTGAGGATGCGGTTGCACATATGGTTGCATATGGCGTACATGCAATTTGCGTTGCTCACACCATCTGCATCTCTGCCCCGCAGATATTACTCAGACATCAGCAGGATGCCAGCTATCAGTGACCAGGACATGAACGCCTACCTGGCAGAGCAGTCACGCATGCACACCAATGAGTTCAACAGCCTGAGCTCCCTCAGTGAGATCTACTCCTATGTGGGTAAATACAGCGAGGAGGTATGTCATGCTTCTCTCTCAGAGTTTCCCCGTGGACTTACCCCAACAACTGGAAAATAATCTGATAATTATCCTGTGTAGTAATTCATATATGTATCACATCCTCCACCATAGAAAATTTGAACTGATGTTTTCTGTAGTTAGTTGACTTAAACGGGTATAATGTAAAACTACTGGTACAACTTCTGATTTTCCCGTAACAAAAACACAATTTTATTCAATCACGCTGCTAGCATGTTGCAGGAAGGATTATGGGTAATGCCGACAATGAGTGAAATAAGGCAATAACATTACCGCGACATTTGACCATGTGGTTTTCACCTGCTGCAGATTCTCGACGCACTGGAGCAGGACGATGGCGCCAGGAAACAAAGACTGGCCTTCAAGCTGGAGCAGGTGGTCGCCTTCATGAGTCTGGAGAGCTGAGGACCGCATTTCCCAGAGTGCACTGGGAGAGTTCCGAAACCGAGCCGTGCCTGAGCGAAGACCTGTCTGTCATTACTTTGCCATCTCTGCTGTCAGAAACTTTCCTTTGTTTTTGTTTTATTGTCTCAGCCGCAAATGTTTGTCTCACAATAGCTCTGGAGAGGAGGAGGAGGAATTTGTGTCTGTTGGGGTGGGGGATAGTTTGCCACATTGGCAAATTTCACCTCCGGGGAACAGAAGAGAGCAAAAATCCAGTTTTTACGTTGCCTTGATCAAGCGTCTCTGAAACACGGCTTAGCCTCAGCCTGCTCAGACCTTTAGGGCAGAAGTCAACCCAGCCAAGTTTAGATGGATCTTTAATGTGTGGAGAGACTGGCACAGGTGCCCGTATATATGTGGTATATATACCCACACAGGCAGACACACACACTCAACTACACACCAAATCAATGGCGTGGGCGTGGGATTTGTTCAGAGAGACGTCTTCAGCCAAGCCAGGTACAGGAGAAAGAGACACCTTTTCCCAGCCTTGTCGATTCACATACGTCTAGCAGACGGGAAAACGTGAGTTTTAGTGCTTCTACACTTTTATTCATTTGAAACCAGAGTCTCCATGGACTGAGCAAGACTAGTTAATTTAACGGCTAATTTAATCCATGCATTTACTCCGCAAGGCACACCTGCCTGCTTCGTCTGGCCTTCTGCAGGAATGACACCTATGAACATAAGGGGGGGTGGGGGGATGGAGCCAGGGCTCAGTTTTACAAAGAAGCACACATCTGCCCTGATGACGCACACGACCCCCCCCCCCCACCATCACCCACCCCCAACCACAAAGCGCTTTACCGTGTGAAGACCAGGGGCGAGAGCTGAAACAATTTCCAGAAAGCACAGAGCTTAGTCCCACGGTGCTCTCATCGCGAGATGCGCGCAGGAGCAGGTGTTTGTCAGCCTGAAACAAACGAAGCAGCGTTACTTTGGGCCCGTGCTGCTCGCAAACAAGCTAGCAGGGGAAAATAATCCACTGAAATATGCAGGATAACGGAGCAGGAAGGCAGCTTTCCCCAAACAACAAGGACACTCGGAGAGCAACTTTCCGGCTCCATGGAAACCAGGGCATTCTACAGGTCAATGGAAAACCAAAGGAACGAAGCCGGATCGAACACGTGCGTGACAAGCCACGTCAGGAAAGGAAGGGAGACCAGAGGCGGAAGAATGCAAACAAACCAATCCTTAAATCACACAAAGAACAAGAAGGTCCATCTGTTTAGAGAGATTCCTGAGCCTATCAATGCATACTTTCTTCCTGTCCCAGTTTTCCGTGTCTCACACCATTCCCTGTTGCCCTCTCACCTCGTTGCCCAGTTGCACCACACTGGACGACTGTGAGACGTGACAGTGAGGGGCACAGTTGTCCCACCTCTTCTGGCACATCATCCGCATAGATCTCCGGGCCTGAAAGGTTCTCAAAAGTTCTTAACAAGCAGATCAACACAACAGCAAAACAAACAAAAACAAAAACGCTGGATGTTGTAATTGTCGCAAAGAGATGATAGAGTCGCCTTCCGTTTGTTTTGACCTTTTGACCTTTCCTTTTGCCTTGAAAAACCGTGCCCAATGTGGTGATGTGAACATGTGGAGACCACCTCAGGTCCATCTTGGGGTTTTATTGGCTTTTTAAACGCATGTACTTCAACTTAAAATGGAAAATAGAGTAAAAAAGGCTTGCAAACGATGTGGATGTCGTTTTCTTTACTTTGCTCGGAGCGGAGAAGCGGATTGTCATGTTAAACTACCGTGAACCCTGTTAAGGTGGAACCTTTATCCGGAAGACCTGTTCAGCAATCATCGCCATGTTTCGTGAATGTGTTAGAAGCTAATATAAAAGTGATACCTTAAAACAAATATATGATATACCCTTGCATGCTGACCTGTCTGGATGTTATGAAATGAAACTGCCTTGCAATCAAAAATATATTTATTAAATACTAGGAGCAAAATTTTATTTGTTTTTTTTTTTTGTTGAAAATCGAGGAGAGTTAGCAGGAGTTAATATTCACGATGAAATGCTCTTCTGGACTTTGGACATGACAAGTTGTTATGAACTTCTGACCATCTGACCGTCTGTCCATGAGTAAGCAACTGCACCTTCTCCAGTGGCTCGGAGGCCAGTTGCAATTCTGCGTGCTCCCCATTGGGCTGAGTGGTGTCCCCGTGCCTTTTGTTGCTGTAGGAACCCCAAAGGGCTTATGAGGGCAGAGTCCCGGGGGACACACTTCATGAGGCCAGCAGAGACAACAAGCAAACCGACACCGGGGGGGGGGGAGCATTTTAGGAAGTAAAATCCAGGATGACTGGCTTTGTTGATCCTAAATAGTAACTAGGCTAACTGAAAACAGCCATTTTCACCACCATCATTCACTTGTTCCCTTCGTCCATAAGATTTATTCTTGTAAGGAGAGAAATGTAACACATCAGCCAAAGAAGAGTTGTGGCAAATATGTACCAAGTTGTAATTTACAGATGTAATTTAACTTGCTGTCCTGTTGTGTACTTTCACGCAATGGTGCAAAACATCTAGACAAAAGGCTTTGGTTAAACACACAGAATGCTGTACGGTATTTTAAAAGTAAACACCTTTGTCTCTGACAAATTGCGAACATATGACAACATAAAAAACTGATCTTTGGCCAGGCGCTAGACGCTGTGTTTTTGGCAACAGATCTAGGCGTAGTTTAGAAATTAACCGACTGTTTTCTGTGTTACCACTTTGAACTGTTTCTCTTTTATTGGTGTGCTGTCTTCATGGTTTTTGTTATGTTGTGTCTTCTTATTTTCAGTGTGTGGTCCTCATTTGTACTCAACATGCATCGTTCCCAACACAAAGCCCTTTGGCTCGTTTTTGTTTGTTTCGGCTCATTTTTAAACGGCGTGAGCGGGCCACGCGGGCGCGAGGCGTCCCCTAAACCCGCCCGCTTTCCTCACCGGTGCTCCGTCGAGCATTTCGTCAAAGATATGACGTTTTTTAATGCTTCCGTAGGTTTCGCTCGTAGCGTTTCTAAAGCTGCCTCTGCTATGGACTACCCATGAGAAGAAAAAAGAAAAAAAAGAAAAAAAAAGCCGCTTGTTGGATTCCAGGTGACCTCATGCACCCCTCCCCGTTCATCTTCCCATGCGGTGAATGTAGTTTTTGAAGAGCGCCAGCCTTGTTTGATACGGGCAGATAAAGCTTCCACCTTACACATTCTGCAAGGGCCACAACGTCCTTCAAGAGCTCAGTGTTACAGCTACGTGTTAGAAGAGACTTTTACTATTTCGACCTTTAATGATAAATAAAGATATTCTATTTGGGAGAATCATAAATCCTGGAAAAAGGCAAGCTTCTCTAACTTTGTTACAATTAGTTGTATACCTGTGTATGTAAATATATAATGCAATCCTATTTTGCAGTCAAGAACAAAATACTATTTGTAATATAGAATAAACTTTATTATGAAAGCACTGGCTTTTCATTTCTTGTTTGATTATATTTTTTCAGCTTTAATATCAATTTGACAGATGGCTTCTGTGAAGACGTATTTTAGAGAGAACTGTTCCATTTAAACCGAATGTAAGTTCAAAATGTAATTGTGGGAAGTAGGTCATTTCACACTTAGTACTTGTGAATAGGAGCGTGTGACAGACCGACAGCTTGGGACACAGTGACCAACAGTCCACCTTGACAAAGCTTTTCAGCAGTTTTCTCTGGTCTTGGGTCTCTCGGGTTCTGCTGGGAATTCTGCCACAGAGCCTATGAGAGTGGCCGCTCTGCTTGCTGACCCAGCCCCCACCCGAAGAGCTGTCTCTGAATACACCCTCAAGGTGACTGGGCACTTGGTTCCGTTTGATTGTCTTTGAATTCCTTTGGTTCCACCAGATAATCCGGCTTGTGTCAGCTTATCTTTCACCCCCGGCATTCTGCGAGGGCCAGATCACTACCAGCAGAAGCATCCTCATTACACACAGAACCACTCTGGAGAGGAACCGCGCCTCTGCATCAGTGCCGGGCTGCCAAGCAGGCGGCCTTCACTAGATCAGGGGCGCAGCCTTCGAGAGACAGACCCCAGGGAGCAGAAAGAGGCCTGGAACCAAGCAGCGATCGAACGGGACCAAGGCCTCTGAATTAACACTTCTCCAAACAGAGAACCCCGCATGCGGAAATTAAAACGACCTCGGAGTACAGGTGGTTTCAGAACCAGAAATATCCTCAAAAAATAATCCAAAGATGCAGAAGGCATGTGTTAGTCCCAAACATGAGGTCGGGAGTCTCCCTATAGGTCTGGCGATTGGTGTGAAAACGCGCACAGAACAGAAATGTTGATAGGTTTTGTATTATGTAAGCTTCTGGAAACTTCTGCGTAGATGTGTAACTTATTGTACACTTTCTGCATACATTTTAATTTATTCCAAAGCTGAAACAAATATATGACGGGGCTTTTCTGTATTGTTCTGGGGAACTGAGTCTCTTCCTATTAGAGGTGCTTGGGGCTCCTGCTGGGGGAATGCTAATGAAGGCCCCCACCTGCAGAAGATGACCCCCACCCAGTTAGCAGAAGGAGGGCTCTCCCTCCCAGGTGACACGGGTAACTGGGCTCCCATTGGAGCCCCCTCTGATTGGCTCCATCAGCTAACCTTTGCAGGCACATCACAGAGAAGGTGTCATGTGATTGGGCGACTGCTATAATACTTCCTGTGGCGGCAGTGCAGTTGGAGAGGGACCCGCCCCCCATTGTGGTGTGGAGGACTGCATTTCAGATTCACTTGCGTTTCCATTATGAAGCAGCGTAATCTTGATACCCATGAGACAAACAGCTAGGTGTCAGCTAGCATCCCACAGGTAGCACGCCCAGATGGTAGGAATGCCGTTTTGCATGAGGCCACGCCCTTGGGATATCATGTCTGCCTAACAACCCCCCATTGGGCAGTTTTTTTAAGGGTAAAAACTTTCCAATCCAATCTGCTGGTAAAACGTGACATAAAGGCTCCTGCCAAGCAAGCCTTAACCTCCAATAAACAAGTAGAGAATGACCTGGTGTCCTGGTGTCTTCTCAATGTCCTCATGATGCCATCAGCCGCCTCTGTTTGGAGGTATGCTGAGGATCCAAAGAAATATGTGCTGCCAGTTCAGAGACTGTTCCCTCGACTCCAATCGGTCCGCTCTCATCCATAATTCTGTGAATATAGTTTCCGTCTCTCTGAACCGGTACGTAATCATCTGGTGAATAAACAGCATTCAATTTATTACAAATTGCAGCTTTCTTATCTCAAGCCAGTGCGTGAAATTTGCTATAAATAATAGATTACAGTTTTAGTACCACAGACAGGTTACTTTAGACATTAATAGGAAAATGCCACAAAAGAACCGTAGCTGAAATGACAGCTTTAATATGGTAACATGACATTACAGAAAAATTTTACTATATCGTGTGGAATTTCTCCAGTCATTTTGCAGTGACAGTTTTGCAGTCCACTGTTTTTTTTTTTACTGTGTTCTTCTTGTTTGAGAGTGAAGGAGCAGCACAGCCGGGAGAGAAACAGTGAAGGTACAGCATGAAGTGTAGTGAAAGTGAAGGTACAGTATGCAGTGCGGAGACAGTGAACATACAACATGCAGTGCGGTGACAGTGAAGATACGACATCCAGTGCCTTCATGCCCGTGCCCCATACGGCCACTGATGCACGTTCTCCCAGCCTCATTTGGTTCCCTTTAAGTAGGAAGAAAAGACATTTACTGTTTCTGCAGGGGATCCAACAGCTGGACTCAAGAGCAGAGG